ACAATCAGCTTGTAACACTCCAAAGAGAAAGGAAAACTTGAAATCGCATCATATGACCCCTTTAAAATGACAATAATATTGCTTATCGCAATTATTTCTGGGGCTATATATCGCACAACAAAAAGTTTTTATCGTGACAGGCCTACTTGGCGGTTTACATTTAGTCCAGTTCTCTCAAGTGCTGGTGAAACAATAACTTTTCAGGCATTGTTAATCATGATGTTTTGCCCGCTGGCATGCTGTGAGCTTGGTATTTTAAGTTAAGTGCAGCTTTTCACAAACTTGTTCTTACCAGTACAATAATTCACATTGGAACTTGTTCTATTCAATGTCTTTGTCTTGTTTTATTTACTGTTTTCTGATGTCAGCTATAGTGAGAGATTAATATGGTTCTTATGACTCTAACATATGAATTCTGGCCTGTGTTGGAATATAAAAGATTATAGTTATTTTTACTTGTATATTTATATTATTTTTCATTATTATTATTATTATGGATATATCTCATTTATTAATATTTTTACTTAATTGTAAAGCTGTGTCTATCAGTGATGCATCTTATTAGCCTTATTATCTTTGTTATTAGTTTTTCAGTTTCAAATATTTTTATATTTTATTATTGTTAGTATTAATAATTAGGTTCTCATAGATGTCATTTCTGTGTACGGCATGTATGACTTGTACCTTCAGTTTTTTAAAGATGGTGGTTTGAGGATTCATTTCTGACACACATAATATAAGAACATATTGTAAATTGTTATCAACAGTTCCCTGTTATGAAAAGCAAGATAAAGATAAAAAAGAATATAAAAAAGATTAAGTTGTTATAACATAAAATGTACCTGACGGACAGCCTTGCCATGTAACTAGGGCTATAAATTGAAAGTGGTATTTCAAGGTAGATTTTCTCTGTTTGTAGAAAACATTGGGTTTTAGAATTAAAGGGTTAGTTCACCCCAAAATAAAAATTCTGTCATTAATTACTCACCCTCCTGTTGTTCCAAACCCGTAAGACCTTCGTTCATCTTTGGAACATGGATTAAGATATTTTTGATGAAATGTGAGAGCTCTCAGACCCTGCATAGACAGCAACGCAACTGTAATGTTCCCAGGTCCAGAAACTTAGTAAGGACATCGGTAAAACAGTCCATGTGACATCAGTGGTGCAACTTCAGTTTTGCGAAGCTACAAGAATACTTTTTGAGTGCAAAGAAAACAAAAATTACGTCTTAATTTGTGTTCTGAAGATGAATGAAGGTCTTAAGGGTTTGGAATGACATGAGGGTGAGTAATTAATGACAGAATTTTCATTTTTGGGTGAACTATCCCTTTAATTCCACTAAATTGACAGCCGTATTTATAAGACAAATATTGTGCCTTTTTTTTTTATAAGGCAAATTATAGAGGCACCCAAGCTGAACCAGCATAAATAATGAGACAGTTGGGTTGTTAGTTGATTGGATGGTTAGAACAGCTGATATTTACTATTAATTGGTCATGTCAGGGTATGCTGTGTAATATGGGTTCTGATGCTGCTGGTGAGTCATAAGCTGTGTCTGTATGCAGGAGCAGGCCTTGATCATAGAGGCTAAAAAAATCAAACAGACACTTTTCTATGCCGTTATCCCACTGTTTGATCATCAAAAGCCTTGTGACCATAGAAATGATAGAGATTTGTCTTTTTTCACCCCTTGATAGGCTACATCTAATTTAATTTGTTATCCATCATAGGTGTTGTATTTTTTTAAAGTACTGAACTTAAAAACCCAGGCTATTTTGCAGAGTAATAGGAAAGAATCTGAGCAAACAGTCCATTTTGACAGCGTACAGTGGCTTGACAAATCTTGGCCTGTGTGTTCTTGCATTTTTCTTCACTGTTCTGCAGATAAGAACCGGTCTGTCCTTTCTTTTCTTTCAAATAAGAAGTTAGAAAGATTAAATTGGTGTGAAACCCTCCATTCCAACCCAAACATCTTTTGTGCGGTGTTGTTATCTGAGTTGTAACAAGACCTTCTAGGTCAGAGTCTTTCACTCATGTCTTTATCATGTCACGTGTGAGACTTATTCTTTAGCAAACTAGCGCACTAGACACAACAGCTTTGACGACACAAAATGAATCTTAATGTTCCACAGCCAGGGTTTGATATATATATATA